ATTAATTTTTAATAGATTTAATTTCACTTTTTAAATTTTGAAATATGATTTTCAAGTAAAAATTTAATTTATATAAATAACAATTAAAAATTTTTTCCTTCATATATAAAATTCTCGTAAAATACTTTAATTTGATAAAAAAAATTTAATTATTATTTATATAATATGCAAAATTTTTATTTAAAATTTATATCTAAAAAGTCAAAAAATCAAATTAAATTTATTAAAAATCAATGGATGGAGTACATAATTGAGAAAGAAACAAGTGGTTATAATAAGAGTAAAATAAAAATAAATGTATTAAATGACATTTAAAAAAAGAAAAGTGAAAAATTAAATTTAACGCCTCAAATTAAAAATTAATTCTAATAAAGTTGACCAACTAATAATTTATAGTTCTACTTGCAACTAATATTTGAGAAGTGCATCAAGAAGAAGTTAATCGAGTTGGCACCAAGCAAGTTCAAAATCACTATTTCAGAGCAAAAATCAGGACAATTCTCTGCAATGCTAAGTCTGGATAATAAGAAAAAATCTATTTGGCAGTGAACCTAATGGTGACACTCTTTTTGGTTTGGAGCAGCATAGCAAGAAATAAAATGAAAGAAAGAAATAGAAAAACATCAAATCTAAAATTTCTAATATTGAATAAAACGAGAAAAACCTAATTTCTGATTTAAATCCTTCCCATAACGGCCATACAACATTTGTTACATCTAAGGAAATGGCCAGATGATCTCTAATTTTTTTAGTACATGATAAAAGTTTAATATGTTTTAGCTTATGCAGAGATTTGAACGTCTATTCTTGAGAGCAGTATCAGTAATTTAACAGTGGCTAGTATAGTATCAACCAGAGTAGGAATACATATTTTGCTTTTTCTAACAACATGAAACAGAACAGAGAATGGTGCTGGTGAATATTCTTAAACGAAATAAAAATTCACAGAATATTAACACAGGTGGTGGCCGGCTTAGAAGAATATCAACGCCTTGGGGGAGAATAAAAATAGCAGATGTCAGATGATCATGCACTTGACACCCCACAACTTCTAATGAGTTTCGTGTACTGATGCATTTGACTCTCCAGGATGCATGGGGAAGGCATGCAAAATGTTGTTACTGATGTACAGCGCAAAAAATATGTGGAACTTAAGGTAGATGCCAAGGAATGATGCCCAGAGTACAAAAATATAGGGGTATGTTGATATTTGGTAATATTCTAGAAAAGCGACCAGATTCACCCATAAAGGAATAATTAAACAACAATGATTTTTGGCTAGTTAGCTCAATGAGTAAAACTGCTCCCGTGTTTCATTTCATTAGTAAAGAATAAATTTAGTTTATGTCAATCGATATATCAGAAGTTCCATACTTGATATACTCCCACGAATAGTTAGTGCTTGACTGACCTAATCCAAATTAAGATATCTTAATGCCATGTGTGTGTTAGAAGGTCCAACATCCTATGTTTGTTTGAAATGCACAAGAAATGAAAGAAACAGATATGAGGAAGTTACATTCCTTCATTCACCACTCAGATAATTGAAATTGCCACTAGCTACCACCTTTTGAAGTAAAAAGATCGATAGTACGTACAGCAAAGAATCATAATCAGAGTGTCCATTTTCTTTTTCCAACTATAGCACACTATAACATTTGATGTTTCCAGAGTACACAAATTTACAGTTTACCTTGAAGTTGATGAAGCAAAAGCCAAATTAGATTGCCGTTGGCTCAGTTTCATGAACAAGCCCTGCAAAATAAGCACCTTGTTAGGAACATCACATGTAGAGACCCAAATTTCAGTTTGTTTATTGAATTAGGAAATTGAAAAATGATTGATTATCAGCTCCCTTTTCTAGTTCCAGTTTCAATAATATTCATATAATTCATAGGCATCATTTTGTTAAACACTTGATGTAAATAAAACTGCTAAAAAGCAGTATTTTATGAATATGTCACCAGATCTGAGAGTGGATTTATGGCTTTTAAGAAATTCTAGGCTGGCAGATTTAAAATTTAGTAAGCTCCTAATAAGTGTCTATGTTTGTTTGATAATATGTAATTCATGGGAAAAAATTACATTCGTTGTATGTATTGTTGCTCCAGTTGTCATGCTAATGTTCTGATCAGGTAGCAACTCAAAATTCAAGTGCTGAAGAAATATTGCAAGTGTGACAATAGCTTCCAGCATAGCAAACTGATCACCAACACATTTACGAGGCCCTCCACTGAATGGAATAAACCTGTGAAAATGAAATTGCAACCTAGCTGATGCTACAGAGAATGTGTCAAATAAACAAGCTAAACATAGATCCAGCTTTAGGAGATGCAGTTGTAAAGAATAGCAGTATGTGAGATATAAAAGAAAATATATGTACCTGAAGTCTGTGTTTGACTCATTAGGTATTGGACCTTCCAAGTCAAATCTTTCTGGCACAAACTCGTCTGCTCTCTCCCAGACCTTGTAAAACCACAAAGATCACAAATTTATAAATACCACACAGCATCATTGTCATGGTTGTCAACAAAGTGGAAGATAGAGACAGGTAATATCAATCTTCCCTATCTTCCCATCTCACAAGAAAAATGAAAATCCATCATATTAGAAAATTAAATTCTTAAAAGGTTTAAACTTTTGACAGAAATAAAACTTTAAGTGAAACATCAAGCATCTATATATTTTTTTTCTTTCTTTTATCCCATCATCCAAACCAATCAACTCTGTACAAATTGATCATGAGACCTAGGGAAAGGAATTTCCAACAGCCTCAGGAGAGAAAATTTAGAGAAGTGAGAGTAGGGGCCTCAGTGTCAAGACAGTTACATAAATTCAGAGCAATGTTTTCTATTCTAAAGAGGGGATTTATCTGAAGCAGACCTATTTTGCTATTTCCTTAAAAAAGTTCCTTGTTTTTAGGTTGTCATTTCCTCCAAGTCATTAAGGCAAAAAATCACATTATCAAAGTAGGAACTATAACTCTATTTCTGACTAGTGGCACAAATAGTGAAATTAAAATTTATTGGAGTCTAAGAATGCAAAATATAAACTGCTACCTGTGCAGAATGATGTATGTTATATACTGAAATCATTATGTCTTGACCAGCTTTAACCTTATAATCTCCTGGAAGAATGTCGTCAACTTCAGCCCTTCTTATCAAGATCTACAGGCAGAGGGAACAGGTCAACCATAAAAACCATGAATAAATTATTATTTAAGGTTGTGTTGTACTGGAAACCTACAGGAGGATGTGGATAAAGTCGCATAGACTCATTTATGCATCGAGTTAGAAACTTGAGATCCTTTATATCTTCATAGAGAGGAGCCCTTCCCTGTAAAACTCTGTCAACTTCTTCTTGTGCTCTTAGTAATGAGGTGGAATCCTGCATTAGAAAGATTAACAATAAGAAGTGTTAAGGTTATAATGAGTTACTTGAAAATTAAGATCCTCACAGATTGTGATGGTAGAATGGCATTTGTTATAAATCAGACAGTTTACATAAGAAACTGATGAAAATATAACCATAAGAGGCAAATGAAAACCAAGAGTAGCCAATTTAAAAGCATATTCACGCAAATGGAGTATAAGTACCTTACTTAGAAGATATAGCGTCCACGTCAACACTGAGCCAGTGGTCTCATGACCAGCAACTAACATTGATAAGAGGTCATCTCTTAATTGTAAACTTGAAACCTAAAACAAACGAGCCATCATAATAAAACTATGAAGTAAAGACTAGACGGACTTTAAAAAGCACAATGACAATAAATATGATAACACTAACTGAAGAGAAAAAGGAAAGAAAGACTGAATAACTGTAATTGTAACTTATACAAGCTCTAAATCCCAAGACTGAGTAAGTGTATCAGTAACTTAAACAAGTTCTATATTACAACCACAAATATATGGAATTAATTTATAGGTCACTTGTAAATGTTATAAGGATTCAATGCCAAGTATTAAAAAGCACTGACAAACCTCTTCTCTGCTTGCTAGCAGGAACCGAAGGATGCTTGGATCAGTTTCATTAACATATTCCTCCTCATTAATTCTTTCGCCCTCACTTTCAACAATCTCTTTGCACTGCTTAATAAGCTCTTCAACTGTTGTTCTAATGATTGTCACTGCCTTTTCAGCTTTTATCTGTCTTGGAATTATCTTGCACAAAGGCTTAATCTGCAACGAGAACAACACAATTTACATTTGTTATTTAAAAAAAAAAAAAAGAAAAAGAAAAAAAGGAAGAGCACAAAAAGGCTCAGCAAAAGAAAGAACATGCCTTCCAGTAAGGTAAAATATCCGTAGAGCGTAATTCCGCTTCTTTTAGTGCAGTGTAAACTGCATCAATAACAGGGCTATCAGCCGTAAGTGAATCAAAATTGTAATTGAATAGTGCCAGACCAATCACATCAAGAGTCAATTGAGAGAACTTCTCTTCCATGTTTACAGCATTGCCATTGAGTGCAAAAGGTTGCACCTTCTCCACCAATCTGTCAGCACATTTGCAAAATACCCGGTCGACCATCACAGACAAATACCTCTTGTGCAGAGATGGAACCACAGCCTTGCGTCTCACCTATAACAAATCAGATTCTCATTTCTGAACGAGAGATATAAAGGACTGAATTTTGAATTGGAACAATAACGGGAAAATATAATAAAAATGAGGATTTTCCAAAGCTTAAAAATGCAAATTTCAAGTTCCTTCTTCCAAGTCAACATTTATGAACTACATTATCAAATTAAACCAAAGGGACAAAGAAGACACCCTTACTGTCCAAAGGGAACCCTCGGCAATGGCGAAGCCTGACCCAAAAAGAAACTCCGAGACCTCAGAGACAAGCCCTTTAGCATACTTTCCATAATTCCTCAAAACATGCTTGGCAATGGCAGGATCACTAACAACCACAAAATTCCTGGGCCCAGAAGCAAGCCTATAGATAGGGCCATACTCATTCATCCACTTAAACAACGGCAAGAACAAAGCGCCGCCAAGCAGATCAGAGACATCATCAAGCTTGGCACTGGCAATGGGTATCCCGGAATCGTCACCGCGACCAAAGGTCAAGGAGCGAGATAGAGAAGTGAGCCAGTTGGGACTGACCCAGGAAGCGGGTTTCGGGGGAGAGGCGTTTGTGGGTTGGGGTTTGGTGGTAGGGGTCTTCTCGACGGAGGATTTGATGGAGAGAGAGTGGAGTGAAGTGGCTGACCGGCGAGGAGGAGGAGCAGTGGGGAAAGAGAAAGAAGATATTAGGAGTGAGGATTGCATGGTTCCAACTTGCTGTGTTATGGTGTATTTCAGTTTTTATCTCATTTTTTCTG